AGCTACGGCAGCGCTTCAGAACAGCAGTAAGAACCCAGCAAGTAAGCACAACAACATTTAACAGTTCATGTTTAAGCACATAACAGGTGTAAAAAGCAGCAGGCAGAATAGATGCACAATTAACAGCATGCTAAAATCCAGAGCTGTAGGTGTGAAAGGTCAGGCAGCATGTATGCATCAGCACTAAAGCAATACTTCAAGCAAGCAACGATCATCAACAAGCATGCATAGCACAATGAGCATGTATCGACAATTAAGCACAAAAAAAGTTTAATGCATAATTAAACATTCGACAAAAATCTCATGCAAATCAACCTTGATTAATCGTTTTGAACAATCATGTGTTTGCGGAATCAGAAACAAACATAAGCATGTGACACATATCCAACAAGATAAACATCAAAAACCAACAATCAACATTATGTAAACGAATATGCAACATGATCATCACACCAAGAATGCAACACGACAATCATAGATGTTCATCAACGAAAACCAAAAGTCGTGTGTTGAAGAATCACGAGCATGTTATCAAGAATGGTGAAACAGGTCAAAAACAGTGCACATATATACATCATATCAATCAATGAGGTTTAAGGATGAAAAAGAACTCAAACAAGCTTGAAAATGCAAGAAAAAGGCCTTTTGTCATAGTGGTAATCGATTACCTATATGTGGGTAATCGATTACCCACTTGAAAATTTCAAAAAAATGTGAAAAAAAGGCAGGGTAATCGATTACCCAGATTGTGGTAATCGATTACCACTATGACAGTGGCAGAAATTCAACTTTCAAAAAGCACTTTCAGCAGCAAAACACTTATCTAATCATCCAAATGAATAGGCAAACAATAATGCACGAAAATCATGACAAATCACAGCAATCAAACATCAATTGGATTTAACACATGCCAAAGTCAATAATCAAAACAAGCAATGGATCAAATATCACCAATAAGTCAAGGATCTACATTGTGAAATGCAAGATTAAGCAAAATTAGAGCTAGATCTAGAATTTACCAACCTACAAAGCTGAGATTTGCTTTGGTGAATGTTGTTAAGCTGCAATTAACAGATTCAAGCAAGAAATCCAAGGATCTATGAAGCTATAGCAAGAAAACTTGAAGATCCAAGCACATAATCCACAAATAAGCAAAAGCTCTTCAAGAAGTGATTCCACCAACTTAATTCAAGACCCAAATGAATTACAAAACCAAAATTGGACTAAGGAGGATGACGCAATGGAGGTTTAGCTCAAGAATTCACAAATTGCAATATACAATTTGTGAAGCTTTTGGCTATGGAGCTTTTGTGAGGGTTTTGGAATGAGAGAAAAGTTGAGAGAATTGGAGTGAGATGTGTAGAAAAATTAGAAAATGAGTGAAAATTTATGAGAGGTTTGGAGCAAAATGATTTAAGTATGGTTTAGGTTTGGAATTAAATGTGATTTAGAGTGTGGTTTAGTGTTTGGAATGGAAATTAGGAGTGAGATTACGAAGGGCTGCGAGTGGACAAGGGTGCGTCGGCCTCGCAGGGAAGGTGGAAGTCTTCTATTCGGGAGATGCATAGAGCAACCTAGAGATTGGTGTCGCCAGAGGACGGTGTTGCCTCCTGTCGAGGATCTTCGTTCCTCCTGGTATATTGCTTTAGGTGCCTCTCTTTGATTAGGATTTAGATGGAATCCTTGAGGTGGATGCAATCTTCCGTGATGTTGGGTTTAGGGAATGTCGACTTCGGGAAGCGGACACCGCCTCTTTGGAACTCCGAGTTGATGCACTTGGCCAGAATACACTCGCGGGGAGACGTGAGTAGCGTATACACGGTGAAGCATCTTGCGGGTCCCATTTGCTCCCGGAGCTCTCGGTACCGATCTTCTCTTCTTTTCTCCTCGCGTCAGGGGGAAGTGGAGTCTTCGTGTCTCGAGCTTTTGGCACTCTCTTGGTTTCGTGAGTCGCGGGCACCGTTGGCAGCCTCCTTATCCTCGTATTGGATGTAGGCCTGGGCCTTGTGGAGGAGCCGATTCAGCGAGCCGGGCCTTTCGATGTCAACGACCTTGGCGAAATCACTGCGAGGTCGTAGTCCCCACTCGATCAAATATCTCTTCATGTTGTCTGAGGTTGACACTTGGACAGCCTCTCGATTAAATCTCTCTATATAGTCCCGGAGAGATTCTTCTTTCCCCTGAATGATAGCTTCCAAGGATGCCTCGGTCTTCGGGTGTCGTCGGGAAGTGGTGAAGTGCCTGGAGAACTGCCTCTTTAGTTCTTTCCAGGAGGTGATGGATTCGGGATCCAGACTCTTATACCATGCCATTGCGACCTTCCTTAGGGTGGTAGGGAAAATCCTACACTTTATAGCTCCTCTGACGTTTAGGTAGTCGAGCATCGCATCAATACTTTCAATGTGGTCGTCCGGATCGATTGTACCATCATAGGTAGCCAGGGTCGGGGGCTTCTCCATGACAGGGAGGCGAGTCTCCATGATAGCCCTGGACAGCGGAGTGCGGGGGTCGTCCTCGTCGCTTCTAATGGGTGAATATGAGGGGGAAGGATCGTACTGAGGGCTCTTGTTGCGGCGTGGAGGGCTCCTCGGACGACTCTTCGGTTTCCCAATCTGCCCGTCAGCTCTGCTTCTCTTGAGAGCCGGGGAGCGCCTCTCTTTTTGGAGCGAAGAGCAGTCACGCTTCTAGGGGGCCATGGGCTGAGGCCTTTCCAGTCGCGGACGACTCCCTGGTTGTCGCGGAGAGGGACTCCGAGACTCATCATGTTATAGCCTCCGCGGGGGAGGGAAAGGGAGGGTTTCTCGTGTCACGGGGACGGGCTGCGAGAAACCGGGCGACAATGTCTCTGAGGGGAGAGCATGATTGTCGCTCCTTTTCCACCATTCTGATCCGCTCGTTCTGTTGGAAGATCATCAAGTTTGTCTGATTGATTACCGCAAACAGAGCCACCATGGTCTGGTCGGCGTTGGGCGGCACAGGGATTGGTTGGAAGACATTTGGGTTGTCAAAGCGTCGGGCGGAATTGAAGGCTGCATCGTCGGAGGAGGGAGAGGCGGTGCGCCCGTCCCTGGCGTCGCCTTCATCCACGGGAACGGTCACGTTGGGATCGTGGTCGTCGTCGTTGGTGAAAGTGGTGAAGGCGGTTTCATGGACGTTGTCGTCAATGCATGCGCTGGTCATGATCAATGGAGATTGAAGTATGCTTTGGTTCTTGAATTTCTATGGAAGAAAGAATGGAGAAGCAAGTTTCCCACAGACGGTGCCACTAATCTTACCGGATCAGAAAAGGATCAGCAACCAACAACACATCACGAGCTCCTAGTTCATCGATGGTGGAGAAGAGGAAGGGGTGTACCTGCAAGGCACTTTGATGCCAAAGTCAGTTTCAGCAAGAGAGAGAAGGCAAGTACAGAAAAAGGGTGAGAATAGAATACCCGACCCTCTAGTGAAAGAGGGTATTTATAATGTACTCCCAGTGTTGGGCCTAATACGAGTAATTGGCAGGGTCTGCGTGGCGTATGGAAGACCAACACGTGATCTTTGCCCTGGATCAACTGCCCTGTGATCTTCGGGAGGTGGGTGACTTGTTCTTTCGAATGTTGGTAGTTATCTGATAACATGTTCCTACGTGGGGGGCAGTGGAGTTCGTGGGGGAGACACGTGAGCGTTCCTCGTGTGATGTGATGAACTTGACCCTCCCTGACGAAGAGATGGATTGAATTGTGTCCGACAGTGGAGCAACCTCACTTGTTTGTTACACGCTGTTTTAGATCATTTTTATAATATTATATATTTTAATTAAAAAATTAGTTAAATTTTTTTAAAACACTTAAAATAAAAATTTTGTCTAAACAATTTTGCATAGAAAAGAATTTAAAATATTTTATTCTTTCGGTTTTTTAAAAAGAAATTCACAAATCGTTTAAATTTATAACAATTTTAAAGTCTTTTATAAAAATCATTCTATAGATACATTTTTTAAACTGCAATTTCTATTATATTAAAATATTTAATATAAATAATTATGTTATAAAAAATACTTTGCTTTAACAATCACTTGCGGCAACCAAACTTTTTAAAATAAATAAGTTGTACTTATAATCCTTTTATGATTTAAATTCTTAAACATTTGAATTTAATCTCAATTGTTTAATTAAGAATTTAAGTCAATCTTCAAAAAACTTAACTTAAAATCCAAAATCTCTCCAAACTCTTATATTAAGGTATTGTTAGAGTTCAGATAAAAAGGAATCAAGGCTTTGATAAAAGAGATTTGTAAAAAAAACAAAAAATCTTTACATGTTTTTATTTTTTTTCGATATTGTATTTTTATATAAAATGATAAATAAATATTTATCATTATTACATTTTAATTTTCAAAATATTATAACACTATATTTGAAAATTTTATTTAAACCCTACGAAACCCTTCTCCAATACAAATTATGAATTCCTCACGTTAAGGAAATTTTGTGCCTTGAATAAAAATAAACCTTCCAAATTCTTTCGATTTTTTCAATCCTACCTTTCTTTTCCTTCAAACTTCAAAACAAATCCTAAAAATACCTGATTGGCAGAAAAAAAAATTAGTGGATTTCAAGCCCTGGAATGACCAATTCTGCTATTTAAGTTTCCATGTTGAGTGGAGAAGAGAAGACACTTAAGTACATATAACCAAAATCAATAATAACACACTTGCATAGAATGTCCAACCATTGTCCATAAATTGAAATAGAGCACAGCGAAAAAATAGTCCTCAAGGTGTTCATGCCAGATGGTCTCCTGGAAGGACAAGATTCCTATCTTTCCGGATGTCCCTCTTACAAAATCAACAAGGAAGATTTTTTTAGCACCATAAAACTTTCATCAGAGCTTCATGCATATTCCTAGACTATAAGAACTCTATTATGCATAGGATTGGTTTGGCATCATCACATTAACTTGCCTCGCTAGACCAAGAAAAGCCTCAAAATGATGAAGAAAAAAAACTCACGCATTAATCAACCTAGTTTTTCCATGAATGTTTCAAGCAGGGTTTGGCCATTGACTATTTTTGTTGACGCAATAACCAAATCATATGCCATGCTTTCCTGCGACACAAACCGCATCAAGAATTAGGAGATGAAAACAAAGGAATATTTCGGCCTTTGAGGCTCTGCTTTTTTAAGCAACTGCAATGAACTAACTAACCAAAAAGCATGTTTGATGTAAACACAAATGATTTTATATCTAACACATCCTTAAGTCACAGGTTCTGAATGATTCAAATCAACTCAAACCTTTAGGGTTTTCCAAGTTGACTTGAACCTTCAATATTTGAGATTTATATTACCATCTAGATCAAATGGTATGTTGGACCAGACGAATGTGGAATGATGCATAAGACATACGCAATATCATTTAGGATGTCTTAGTAGGAAACCATTTTAAGAGTAAGTAAGAAAACAGGGCTGTGATAATCTGAACCAACTAGAGTAATTATGAAGCCTTGTACCAGCTGCGTTCAAGAGTTATGTTGTTCCAAGTTCCATATCTTAGTTTAGTTTCTAGGGTTGCCTAGGTTTGTCGCAACCCTTTCTATCCCTCATCATTTGAGACCCTTGCACGAGTTCCATGTATTCTAGATGTATCAAGAAATCATCCACAAAACCGGAAGCTTACAAGTTTATTTGGAAAACACATTTGATTTATAAATGAAACTTTGTTTGGAAAGTTATAGTAAAATAGGAATTGACTTGGTAGTAGGGATGGTGATTTAAGGAGTGGAGTGATAAGGAGAGAAAGAGGGTCCAATCTGCACCTTAACATAATATTAATTATATTAACAAGATATTTCAACAAAAAAGGGGGAATTGATTTGATTTGATTATGAAATCCTCACAGGTTGTGTATTCAAAATTCAAAAATCCACCTAGGTTGGATTTGATATAATTTTGGTTTCATTAGTTGAATTTACAACTTTACCTTTAATTGTCTTACCATTATTGGGGGCATGTGGGGTGCCAGAGAAGGTTATCTTAATACCTCTCCACTATATTCTTGTAATTTATGCAAATGAAAGCGAAAAACTTCGATAGATGAAAGAACAACCTCTCTCCCCCAAAGAGATGCTCACCCACCTCACACCAATTACTACTTCACCAAGGTTTAGTAATATCCACTTCGGAAACATATTACTGATATTACACATCCTACACATCATAAAACTACAGGCTAGGCAACACAAATCTACTATATGAACCACCAATTACAAGCAACATATTGGTTTAACAGTGTCAGTGTCTTGGAGACATTAAAAAATGGGCAATAGTACACACCTGAGCACTGAGAAATCGAAGTGCAGAAATCTCGGCAAATGTAACACCCCCAACAAAGACAACAAGGACCAGGGCACGCCTTCCATCAGGTACTCTGTAATATGTGTGGAGTCAAAAAAAGACAATTTGACAATTATAAGGTTTCTTCCTTTAAGATTTCAAATTTTGACACACCAATGTTATAAATATAAATCATCAAGTTCTAACAGCATTTCTTTTCAAGAACCTATCACCAAAAACTGAAAGCAAATGAAACATCCTAGAAATCATTCTCGCAGTTGGGAGATTTTGCCAGGCAATAAACCTATAGTGCTAGTAATATCTTCCATAATCACAAGTTTTGGGTAAAGTCTATACAGTATACAGATTTATCTGAACATGTTAACAACTAAAACCTTGAAACGTTAATTTTGAGATTTGACAAGGAAAATTACACAAATTAATAAGCATTGCATTTCCTGAAATTAATAACATTTTTCTGATAGTTATATTATTAGTATTTCATTGACGATTAAGGACAAGATGCAAAATCTTAACAAGCAAAAAAATCACTGTTCAAACATACTTTGCCATGCTGGTTGGAATCCCTGATAAAGTGTCAAATGATGGGCTGTTTGAGAACCCTCCCTGTACAATCAATAAAGCAAGCAAAACATAAAATACAACTCAGAAGAAGAAATGGAATGTTAGTCTCAATGTGTCTCAGAATGTGTGAATGGGCCTAACCCATCCCTACAAAACCGGCTCGTAAGGTGAGGATTGCCCCCACTTATAAACACAACACAAACCATATCTCTAAGCAATGTGGAATTAAATTCACTCATTCAAATCCAACACAATGAAGGTGTTGGAGGCTGCAATTAAGGCAAGACAAATGCCGCAATTAAGGCGCCTAACCCATATCCCTACAAAACCGGCTTGTAAGGTGAGGATTGTCCCCACTTATAAACGCAACACAGACCATATCTCTAAGCAATATGGGACTAAATTCACTCATTCAAATCCAACACAATGAAGATGTTGGAGGCTGCAATTTAGGCAAGACAAATGCCGTAATTAAGGCGACTAGGGGCGGACCACAATGAAGGCAGAAATTCCAACACACCCCTACAAAACCGGCGTGTAAGGTGATGATTGTCCCCCACTTCTATAAACATGTTCAGATCATATATTGTCCGATGTGAGACTCTTGCCAAAAATCTTCAAATATAACATTTATAAAACACATTTGATAAGAATGGAAATTATGAGTGACAAGTTTTTCAGTAGTTCAACTTGACAAGTACTAACCCTTCTAGTTTCCAAATGAGGTCCAGGCAGCAGTTTCAAAATTTCTTCAACAGGGCGCCTAAAAGATCAATTATTATAGTCAATCTTAGCATTGGTTTCATTACTCTACATAGAAATTAACTTCAAAATTTAATGCAATTAATTAACTAATCAATATGTAGCAAGGCAAAAGCAAATATATTTAAGTATGCCGAAAGGGAGAATATGATGCTTTGGATGATAAAAAGGCTACTATGCTCCAAGTCTAATTATGTATAAACAACTTTTATTATTAAAACGCCTCTAGTTACATCAAATAGTGTTGAGATGTGCCTCTCTATTAGACATACAGCCATGCAGAGAGGTTTTGGCTTGCCCTTTTGCAGGACTCTCGATCTTAGTTTCTATGTTTTTCTTCTGTGTTTTCTTGTGAAGATGTATTATCTACTATCACTATATGATTCTTTTCATCTTTTACAAAAAATTCTTTTTATGAAAAAAAAATCCGACAGACTTGTAGATCTTAATGAGCTGAGGAGCTGAGAAACAATGATACACATCAAGTAAACATTGGAATTCTCTGTCGACATACCCAATTCAAAGCCAGTAAAATATACAGAAGTCTGTATCAGATATTGAGATATGATTGTTAGTAAATTTGCACCAAAGAACTGATTTCATACTATAATTGAAAGTGCAGATGTTTAACATTGTAAACTGTAAACTGTAAACTGATTCATTTCTGCCTAATATTTCTAGCAGCAAATCATTTAACAAAATTTACAGTTCCATGAGCTACAGTTCTTTATAAAATTGAAAGTGCAGGATGTTTAACATTGTAAACTGTAAACAATTCATTGCTGCCAAAGATTTCTAGTAGAAAATCATTTAACGAAGTTAAATGTTATGCTCAACAAAAACTAGGAAGATCTCCAGTGTTAAAAATCTATCATTACCATCCAGATCGAATGGCATGCTGGACAAGACGAATGCTAAGTGGTGCATATCCGGAGAAGACGTAAGCAATATCATTGGGGCTGGCAATTAGAAAATCATTATAAGAATTAGTAAAATAATTGAATAAGTTGAACATTGCATCAGAGTAGTGTATCACAAGTGACAATTCAAAAGACTCAGAGAGACAGACGTATCAGATTTCCAGTTATTTTGCCATGAACAAATATATGTACCATATTTTATTTGTGTTCTGTAGCATACATATCAATTACCCAGTTTCCATAGAAAATCTAAATAATGGCAACGAACTTTATACGAAATTTATGAATATAAAAAGGTCTAAGGATCACATCGTCTAGAAGATTTTACTTGGCTGTATCAGTGTCTTCAACCACAAGCTCCAGAGTACGTTTTATAGTAAGCCAATTGCTTCTTGACTCCTAAAAGGATGACACAGAATAAGGTTAATTGTTCAACAATGGGTATATAAATGGATTTGCCTTTGCAAGTAAACAACTATTGTATTATACCTGCTTTTTAAAGAGTCCGGCTTTCTCTAAGTTATTTAGTGTCGCTATGTGCTCAAATCCATAGCTATGCAGTAGCTCTCTCCTAAATTGGAAGTTACAAATATGTAAGGTAACTCTAAGTACTTAAAAATAAATCTGATAGTATACCGTACAGAAGACAAAATGAGAATACCATCATAAGTTAGTCTTGCCAAAGACCTAGAAGAGTAACAAATGAAAAAGTATAGAATAAGGATCAACAAAGCATGCAAGCTTGCCTGAAATAGTCAAAGTGCTTCTTTGGCAACCCAGCATTAGTGATAGAAAATAAGATCAGAAGGCGTAGGACTGTTATTAAAGGCTCCTGCTTATGGATCAATTCTTCAATATACTCAAAGCATCTGCATATATGAATGACATAAGTTTTATTATGTAGAAACATACCTACATGCAGCAATACGAGAACAATAATGCATAACCACGAAGTCAACTACAGACACTGACGTAGATATGACAATGCTACATTAATTGGTTTTATCAAACAATTCATTTTCTTAGTTCTTTTAGTCCATTTTATGTAGTCCATCTTGTTCTACATATGATAGGCTAGAAATTAAATAAATTCAAACATCATCTACAGAAAACAAAGTGTAATTGTTTATTATATCCAAGCTTATTATATGACAACGTGCATTTACAGGCTCTATTTGGCAAAAATGTGGCAAAAGTAAGTTATAAGCTTTATAATCAACTATCACCTAACATTTAGCTGAAAAGTTAACTAGTCAAAATTAAAGCACTTGGTAAAACTAGTGGTTGAAGTTACTGTAAATATAAAATGAAATATTTTATATAAATTATATTTTAAAATTATTATTCTTTTATATATTTTCTAACTGACCTTTATTGACCTTGCCAAACATAACCATTTCCAATTTGAAATCTTAATTTATAAAATACTTTTAGTATGCAGCTAAAAATTTACAGAAGCCTGATACACTGCCAGTGCCAGGTGAAACTGTGGTTAATTGTCTGCACCGAAAAGGTAATTGCCCAATTAAACTATCCATGGGTGTTAAAATTATATTAAATTAAAGTATAATAATACCATTTTTAGGTTGTCTGCATGCAAAATTAACTCACATGTCATAACTTTGGGCCTCAATAATTGTATGCTCCATATCAAGCTGCCCGAGAAAAGTTGGCTTTGATGTGAATGTTGATAGATGCTGAGCAAGATTTATGTGCCTCTGGATAAAAGTGTAAATAATATTATCATTTGATTTTCATTATGAAGATCCAGCTAATGCAATTTCAATATTATAATGAAAACAGTCTTACAGTCATCTCTGGCAATGAGTTCAGCTTTTTCACAAAGTCCTTCAACTCAGAAACCGACTGCGTCTGGATATTCATTGAAAGCAATATATTAGAAAATATTTACAAATTGATTTTAATTTTAAAAGATTTATTAAAACTTCTTTAAATGCCACAACTGATAATACATACATCTTATTCAAAGATTAATTTCTTTTACTTACGAAATAACGCATCTATCAAACAAGTATATAAATTTGATTTTAGATCCCCAAAGGAAAAAAAAAGGGAAATACCGGACTTGAGTGGATACACTGGGTTACTTTACGTGAAAAGTTGGTCTCAGAACATTCTTTCTTATTTTTACAAAATCAACAGTAAAATCAATGCCCAGGTGTAAGATCGTCTACTCACTGTTGTTGTCATATCTGTGTAGTCTTGCTTCATGGATGTTGCTTTTTGACGCAAAATCTGCAATACTGCAGACAGCAACTAAGAAAATAGATCTACAAGGGAACCAAAAATATTTATCTAAACACCAGTCTCCCTGTTCCTGTGTGCGCGAGTGTGTTTGAAAGAGAGACAAAAAAAAAAAAAAAGAAAAAAGAGATAAGAGAAACTAGGATGTATGAGGTAAAAATGAATCAACCTGGACTACAACTTCAAAGTTGAGATCCCGTATCTCCTTAAAAAGCTTGTCACTAACACAGACCATGTAAATAAATGTTATTTCAAGAAATATTATCAGAAAAAAGGAAAATGAAAAAATTAATAACCGTGAAGAAACAGAAAATGGATATCTGGCTATAACAAAAAAAGAGGATATAGGCAAATGAAGGCCTTTTAAAAATATTTGTCAATAACACCGACCGTGCAAGTAAATTTCATTTTAATGAGAAATATGAGCAAAAAGAAAATGAAACAAAAACGGTTTTTGAACTACCCTTCAAATGTGGTCTAATAGAATCGACAAAGGGGCATCTGGAAACACAAATATATCTTTATGACACGCAAATACCATAGCATAACAAAGACAATTAGTCATGAAGGTAGCTCAAAATCGTTGTATAAAGTTAAGAGTCCTACAATTGATGACATATGACATCAATACGTGTTTATAAGTGGAGGTAGCTCTCACCTTACAAACCGGTTTTCTAAGGTTGAATTAAGCTCAACCTAAATTCTAAATTGGTATCAAAGTCCATCCAAGATTTGGACCATCTGTTATCAGGTCACGCTCCATACATCCAGTCAAGGGCATGAGAGGATGTGCATTAAAAGTCCCACATTCGACAAGAGATGGCCTGAACATATGTTTAGTACAAACTAGTTTTGTAAGGTTGAGTTAGGCTCTAATTTTAAAGATGCAGAGTCTATTCAAGATCTGTTGGATCACCTACTACCAGGTCACCGCTACTAGACCACTCGAGGCACGCTCTAAACGTCTAGTCTTAGGGAGGGTGTTAAGATTTCCACGTGGATAAAATATGGCTCAAACATATGTTTATAAGTAGGGATAATTCTCTCCTTACAAATTAGTTTTGTAAAGTCGAGTTAGACACAACCTAAATTCTAAATAAGTATCAGAGCAAATCCAAGATTCATTAGGTCACTTACTATCGGGCTATTTTGGTCACACTCCAGATGTCCAATACTAGGCACGAGGGCGTGTGTTAATGATCTCACATTGAACGAGTGATGGTCTTAGCACATATTTTATTAGGTTTAATTTAAATATGCTTTAGTCCCTTCAAATATTAAGAGTATTCGTTTTAGTCCCTGCAAAAAAAAAATGTTTAGTCCTGACAAATATACTACTTTTTGTTTTTGATCCTTGTTGTTTTCTTTTAGTTTTAGTCCCTGCAGAATATGTTCATATTGAAATTGGTCCTTGTAATATTCATTTTAATCTTTAATTTGAGGTACCAAAATAAAAAATTCTACATATTACAAAGAAAAAAAGTATTCATTTAACTAGACCAGCAAGCGACAAAAGTGCCTACCTTGAATTAAGTGGGACTTTAGTTTTTTTTCCATCTTGTGGAAGACCCAAAATAGATCCATCAATCTCAACAGAACCATTGTTGATGTGAAGAAACTGCAACGATACAAATTCAAAAAGTAAATGAAAATAGACAACTATCAAAACTTATTTGCATGTAGTATAATAGTCCATGAACCCGACATACAACTGTAAAACTCCTTGACTGAAACTCCAAAACAAGCCTTAGAAAATTTTCCATATTCAAACTTTACAATATCAAAAAGGAACAAAGTTAAAGAGTTTATTAAGTTGACAAAGCTTGTTAGGCAACATTCTCAAGAAAATTGATAAAATAACAAAGTAATCAAAATGTTTATGCAGTAAATATTCATTCACAAAGGTGTAGGCTGTTTTTGCATTAACTTGCCTCGTCAAGTAGCCCCTCATACGTTAGTTGGGAACACAAAGGAGTAACCATATCCACCTGCATTCAAAGCATATTCAACTTCAATGACCATCATCCATGTTGAAACCACTTGAACCCAAACAAACGGAATAGTGTGACCTCAAAAAGACATACAACTTCAAGTGCAGGTAAAAATTAACCACAACAGTGACAAGTAATGATTCATTTAGGTTCCAATTTCCAATCTCATGTTTGGACAAAATCTTAAAAAAACAATTTCATATGAAGTAATAAGAGAGAAATGTACAAGACAGGACATGCCTTCCTAAAGTAGTAACATACTAAATCTATAAATTACACAGCACAAGAGAACCTAGGAGAAAATCCCTGGACATGACAGATTATGAATAAAAGACATAAAATGGAAAAGCATGAAGTACCTCTCTATCCAAGAGGATTACTGTATTTATCTCTGGCATAACCATCTGAATAAAGAAAAAAATAGTAAGATGATTACAGTGTATTTTACATTACTAAAACTTATAAATTTGCTTTTGTTTATTCTTTTGCTATAAGAGAAAAATAGAGTGGTTTGTGATTACATCAGATGAGTTAACCGGCTCTTCAGCCTGCATTCGATTTAGGATGTCTGCAATACGCACAGATGCTTTTCCTTTTGCCCGCACATTTGGTATCACTCCAAAAGAAAACTAAAAGATGAAATCAAATGAAACAATTATAACTAATAAAACATGTTAGAATCATGTTACATTTCACGTTCATGATGATGTATGGATGATAATTTGTTAAGGGACACTTCATTGGACTATCTCCTTTTTGTTAGATGCTAAATGTTGCAAGGCTAAAGCTTCCATGTTAAGAAAAACCAAAAGCATGATGGATTCAAAAATACAACCTCAAGTTTGTGAATGGCCTTTGCAATATGCCAAAGTGAGCTTGCATCGCCATCAACCAGGCATTCCTACCACATGGAGAATGCAAACAAGGATAAGTAATTAACCAAAGCAAATACTAAATGCAAGAAACATGAAAGCTAAAAACAAAACACTGAAAGAAACTAAAAAAAAACTATGAAATAAATCAGATCAATAGTGGTTATACACAACATACTTTATAAGAAAGACCAAGTTCAAACGATAGCACATCCTCATCCATTGGCAACATATACAATGGATATTCCCCTATTGTAAACATATGATGTAATTTCTCATCCTCAAGGACCTGCACACAAACAACAACCATTTACATTCGCAACTTCGAGATCTCATGCATAAAAAAGAAAAACACTACGCTCAACTCAACATAAATTGATTCATTTCCAAGGAAGGCTTACTTTCTCACAAACAACAGTGCGACGGGGGACAAAATAAACATGATATTCTCTCTGTACTCCTTTAGATACATCATCGTGAACATTAGAGCATATGAATCTCATCAAATCCGGCTGAGAGCGCACAAGGAAAACAATTTTTGTACAGTCACTTTGAATTGGGTCAGCCGAAAGATGCCGCAACTCAACCCCTTGCTCCTGTTTGAGTTAAGTATGAACACTCAACATCATCAAAAAAACCAAAACAACATTCTAATGTCCATTGATAATTAAATAAAAATCAAAACAAAACTCTTGTAGATACACAGAAATGTCAAATTCTATAAAAACTCAATCAAAAAGTAGAACCCAGTAAATGATTAATAAGGGGAAGAAAAATGCCTTGAGAATTGATGACTGTATGATAAGCGAGAGAGAGTCTCCAAGCTTGGGATCAATGACCAAACACTTTTTTCCTCTAACCTAAAAAATCATAAGCGCTTATGAAATCAATGATCAGTGCGAAACAAAATAAACGCAATAAGAACACTGCAATATCAAACTTAAGTCTAAGTCGCTTAATTTCTACATAGGAAGCAATTACATTCTTGAGGATGTTGATGAGCTCTTTTTGCGAGTGTTCCCTGAATGCAATCGAAAAAAGTTAAAATTTAGATTATGATTATGATTAAGATTAAAAGTGTAATTGAAAATGAAATGAATTGGATTTGACCTGATGGATGTGAGATTGACGGGAGCATTCTCTAGGTTGGGAATCTGAGCCATTGAGAAATATATGAACACTACAAATTGAAATCAAAATTCGATTCAAATGAGGATCGTGCTGGCTTTGGACATGCTCGTCGAGTTCTGCCACTGTTAATTGAGGTTCGGTTCTATGTGGAACTCGGGTTTCATAAATGGTTATAGAAAAATACATAAAAAAACCTCTTTGAAATTGAAATTGTAAAAAGTGTGTAGTTATTTTTGTGAAGAGTTTATGTTATGAGATTTTAAAATAATTTTTCTTTTTTTGTTTTTGTTTTTTCTAAAAGAAAATATAAAATAACTTTTTCAATATAAAAAATAGTTTTTATTGCAAAGAAAAAAAATTATAAAAAGATATCATTTCAATGAAATATCTTATATTAAAATATGAGTCATGCTATTTTGACACCGATATTCAATACACCGTAAGTTAATTTTATAACAAACGAAAATTTTTTTGTGCATAACATTCCGGACAAAATACATTATTTATAAAATGAATATGTGCATCGTATGTATTCAATTATGGTATAGGTGGAGAAAATGGTGTCAATTTATCATTTCTTTTAAAATATTTCATAATATTCTTTTTATAAAATATTTGGATCGCAAAATATTATTTGATATCAGCCATATACTACAATTAAATATTCAGGAGACTATGTATTAGATACTGTTATAATATTATTACTATTATAATATTATTTTTAGTTAAAAATATTTATCTTAATAAAAATTAATTATTATAGATGTATAATCTGTCAAAGTTAAAATAGCAAGTTCAATTATTACATTAAGGTGATTGTTGTATTTTCAGGAGTATAAATACTATCTTTTGGTTAATGTAAAAGTACACCAATTTTATTTTGAAAAACATAAGTAAAATATTCATCAATCTTTGCTATTTAGCTTAATAATTACAACTAGATTAATAACTTATATCAATATATTAATTTATAAATATTAATAAAGAAATATTCAAAATCGATTTTTCTCAACCTGTTATCAGCACGATCGATTCTATCGGAAGTTATTACTACACTAGGTATATCTTCTAGACTTATCATTTTAATCTTATTATTACTATAATTATTATTAGGGTTAAATATGTCTGAGGTTCTTATAAATATGTCAACTTTCAAGTTTAGTCCCTCCAAAAAATGTCTTCAAACAATGGTCCTCACAAGGTTTTCAGTCCATTAAAATGGTTTCTCCCGTTAGTTTCCACTAACGAAGGCTGATGCGGCATGCCACGGGGATCCTTGTCATGGCCACATCAATTTGATTTGGATAATTTTTTTATTATCATAAATAGTAGAGCCAAACTGAGTGAACCCTAATCCTTTTGTTCACAATTTTCCTCCATAACACTACATTCCTGCAATTGTTCACATTCAACCATTGTCATTCGTTCTTCTTCTTCTTATTCGTCTCCCTCCTCCATCTCATAAATATGTCGTCTTCATCAAGGTTAATATAATTTGGTTCGTACTATTCGACGAGTGTGACAAACCGTCGAGCGAAAAGGTGTGGATGCAATGGTGTTATGATTTCATACATGTGCAAGAACAGAAAGAACAAATGTCGATTATTTTGGAAATGTCCGTATTGGAAAAACGAAGGTACTTACAATCTACTTATTTGGGATGATGAAATTGCACAAGGAAAGGATGATGAGGAATGCATAGATTCAGAATGGAGGAAGGATGAGAGTAAGGTGAGGAAAATGTAAACTTTAGAAACTCTGAAGGAGTTTATGAATCATCCATGAAGAAGAATAGGAGGTTGAAGATGAAGATTAAGGCAGAGACATTTTGGGGGAAGCCGAAGACAATATGTGTTATAGTTTCAGTCTTGGTCAACTTATATTTGTTAATTAGGTGTAATTGTTGATTAGGTGCAATCGTCTGTAATATTGTTTAAGTGTTAATCTTGTTTAAGTGGTATTTTGTGAAATGTAACTTGAACTAGTTTTGTAATGTTGAATTGGTATGAAATACAAATTGGAGTTTTGTGTAATTCATTTAGTATTGTTCAATTGGTATGTTCATTTTGTAGTTTCAGTCAAGGAACATAATTTTGACACAATCTGACCTATAAATTGGACATGATATGAGATATAAATTGTGCAGAAAAGATAACCTTAATAATTGACCTATAAAATATGCAGACAATGGTCATCAAAGCTTGCATTTCTGTATGTCTAACTAGCATATAATTCACTTTATAAAATTGACCTATTAGGTGGCCTTAAAATTTAGACGTACAGTGTGTAAGTTTGGCATGATATGAGCCATAATTTTCAAGCAAAATGATCTATAATTTTCACATTGAAACCATATGGACTCAACAGATTTCACTAGAATGATCTATTATCAGTCAAGGAACATCAGTACAAGAAACTCATAAAAACAGAATGTTCATAATTAGCATATCATAACATGTTCACAAGACAGATTGGACTCAAAATAGATTGGACTCAACAGATTTCATTAAATTAGCATACCATAACAGGTTCGCAAAACTACATCAGTACAAGAAACTGATCAAAATAGTACATCATTTTCATTACATCAAAAGAACATGATTTGTTCAAAAGGTTACAACAGTACATCATATAGAGCAAAAAAGTACATCAGTACATTACATCAAAATATTTGTTCCTAAACAAGTCCATCTGCAAAATACTACTGCTTCATTGGGTTATACCTTTGCCAATTGTGTTGTCTTCTTCAGTTAGATCCAAAGGGTCATCATGTTTCTTTCCAGGGCCAAAAATGTTCTTTGTTTTCAAGGTCTTCAACCTTTCACTATGCCTTTTTTCTGTTGTAACATTAATATGTGTCTTGTACCTGCTCTGGGTTTTAAACTTAGGTGGTTCACTAGAACTTGTCCTTGAAAGATTTTTTATAATACCAGGTGGTTTGAAAGGCTTGTTCTTGCACACTTTTGGTTGTTTACCAAAGAAAACCTTGACATTACTTTGCCTTGGTGCAGTTTCCTTGAGAGGTGATTTGTCAACCCTGGATACTCCTCTTCAAAAACCTGAACAAGGCCCTAAACCAAGAAAATGTTATTTGCATTAGTACATTCAAGTGATTGAAAAAATGGAACTGGCAAATATTGATGAAAGTACAACTTACTTTTTGTTGGTTAGAGATGAAACACCATTTGCCATCTCCTATGTCTTCAATAAGAAATTTTAGAAACCAGCTCCATGAATCCTTTGATTCAGTCTCAATAATAGCAGAGGTAATTGGCAAATATTGATCATTAGGATCTCTCCCAACAGCAATGAGTAAAATACCGCCATACTTGTGTTTCAAATGGCACTCATCTAGTCCAATGAAAGGCCTGCATACCTTTTTCAAAGCTTCCTTGGTCCCATCAAAACACATATAGCACCTCTCAAATCTAGGTTTCAAGCCAGAACTAGGAACACTGGTGTTGCTCTTGAAAGTGTTCCCGACTAAAGCCTTTTTTAACTCAGCAGCATAGGACCATAAAAGACTAAATTGTTTGCTAGAATCTCCTTCAACAATGTGTCTTGCAATCTGTCTTGCCTTAAATGCTCTGCATCCTGGAATTTCTCTTACATATCTTTGTCTAACATTTGCTACTACCTCATTTAACCTCATCCTAGAGTTATTCTTTAATTCATTAACAATTACCTTAGCCAACCACTCTGCTTTAGCACTTTTATTGAAGAATTGTCTTCCACATTTGTGCTTTGCAAACAAAGTCTTAATCCTAAATGTGGTGGATGTTAAAACTCTACTACACAAGATTGTATAGACACATTTTTTTCTTGTCCTTACATACTACCATACATCTGTTAGCATTATTTTTTCAAACTTAACATACCTACCATTCAAAATATTAAGCTCTAAGATAGAATCTTTGAACTGTCTCAAAGAAGAAAACTTCATTCCCACCTTGAAAACAAAATCCTTGCTTAAAAATTCTTCTTAATTAAACCTGATTACACAGGGCCTTTCATCACAGTTGTCATCACCACCACCACTATCCAGTTCATCAGTCATGTAGGCATCCTTAATGACATGGTCCTTGCCCATTTCTTCTGTTATAAACATCTTCTTGTCTACATGAGCAATGTCTTCTTCATTTGCAACAGGTCCATCTTTTTGTTCTCCTTTAACTCCATTATCAAACACTTCATCAAGGCCTTCATCAAACCCTTTCATTCTCTCTTCCTCACTATCATCAAAGTGAACATATTTAATAAATTCATCACTAGAATCAACACTTGCTTCAATCAACCTGTCAACATCTTCATCACATATGATTCCCTTTCCCCTTTCTCTAAACCTATCAATAAAGGTGTCCTCTCATACAACTTTAGACTCACAAAATATCTCAACATCAAACTTATTTCCTACAGCAAACATGGCTAACTCAACAGCATCTCCATCATTCTTAAATGGTTTTAAGTCATATTCAAATGATCTTTCATCATGTTTCCACCACATCTTAACACCGCCTATATCAAACTCATGTTCAATCAACTTAACTAGGTCACATGCTTCAAAGAAAGACCAATAATCAGGATTTTGACCACTAAAAGCATACACTTCCCCTCCTTCATATCTTATGTTAGGATCTTTTACGAAACGACCCTTTGAGTAAAATACAACCCTGAACTTATCCACTTCTTGTACACAACATTTAACCTACGTTTAAATTTTACCATTACAATATAAAATTGATTTACCCTAATTTTTTCTAAAAAAGCGAACAAACTTATTATACAAATGGTAATACCACCTAATTTCTTCTTTGAATGGCGCGAATTAATGTTTTTTGTTCCTTGGTCAATGCGCACCTCCAACGCAAAAACAATGGAAACTTCTGCTATGGCACACTTCAGAAGTTGAAAGATTTTGTTGTGTTTCATTTACATCATTTAAGAGGATTATCTTATCAGCATTTTCCACGGTGGCGAATTGGAATAAAACATATCACACGTAATCAAAAGATGTTATTACATGTGGCATGAC